TCAACAGCTGTGAGCGAGACTTCGTGAAGATAACATTTGTGCGCGCGGGAGAAAGATGGATACATAAGAAACTGCTTCATAGAAGAGAAGACAGTCTCTTTCAGACATCAGAGGATAATATGAGGACGATATTCGTTTGAGGGCTCAGCGGGGCCGCACACCACAGACTGGACGAGAGTAACCGAGGAAGTCCGGAGCTGACTAAAATGTAATGCTAACTAATGAAGATTGAGGTCTCGTGTTATCAATTTATCAACAGACACGCTTTATTAAGGTTATTTACTGAAAAATAACTCGGTTTTAAAGAAAACTTTCTTCAAGGGAATTATTATGAAAGTAACCAGCTGCAATAAAATCTCGCGAGATAATTTGGTGTTATGAATACTTACGCGAGAGAGGTGAAATAATAACCTACGATAGAGAAACAACTGCCATGATTCTGAAATATAACATATAAAGTTATCTAGGCTTAGGAATGAAATAAAAGTTTGCGAGAGCTAAAGAGACAAATGATTTTCCTGGGATGGACAGATATAATGATATATCTTATTCTAGACAGATAAGTGTAGTGATACAATATATGTTTGAAAGAGATAAAAAAAATGACTTTCAGAAGAGAGATATAGCAAGACGTCCAAGAATATTCCACCCCGGTCTATTTGAACAAGAGTAGAAGTTTATCCCTTGTTCTCTGTTTAGGAATGGGGTTCCGTTTTCGTCTAAAGACTTTTTAATCTCTTTGTATCTCAGTAATTTCATGCCCCTTAGTAGCATTATCACATTGTTTGGGGTGAGTCGATAAAAAAAACCAAAAAAAAAACAAAAACAAAAAAAAACAAAAAAAAAAAACATACAAGTTGGCAAATAAATATCTTGCTCGCGGTAAAATTATTTGCGTCTTAAATTCGCTTGAACTTTACTTTGAACTTTAAAAATACCTAAAACTGATTTTTTTTATATTTATAAATTCCTTTATGAATACTCTAGGAAGTATTTTCTAGAATAAAGATCTGCAATGTCTAAATGAATAATTTGTGATTCTAATTATTTACATTCGAATTAATATCCTAATCTAGAGAATAATGTTCTCGTTATTGTTGCTATCACACCGTTTCGGCCGGTGTATCACCCGGCTTCCTTCAGATAACCGTCGTAGCTTTTAGGAATTTTCGAAGTAAACCTTGTATTTTATCTACTAGACTATACCGTTCTTTGTCTCGCTGTCCATGTCTGGAGATATCTTGTTTTGTTCTTATTTATATTGAATTCCGTGTCACCGCCGGTTTCATTCCTTTAGATCTTAACCCCACTTCATAGACCGTATCAACAAAGGACGATTTCTTTTTTATATTCGCTTTATGATGCGTTCTAGGATCGGTTCGAGAAGTTAACAGGAGGAAGATCTTCAGGAGAACGAATACCCACTCATTGGCTTAGTATTCCACCACGAGCGGGCTACTCTCGCTAAGGAATCTGGGTACAGAAAGCGTGTCAACTTCACAAAATTCTTGGGGCTCCCTTTTTTGATTTCATGCCGTTCTCGTCTTATATCCAAAACTTAAACGAAAGTAATCCATCACTGTCAGAATCCCATGCCCACGTGTCTCCTGGCCTGTAATTTGCAATTTTCGGCCGGCCTTCGCATTCTGAAACATTTAGTACTGATTAGCTATTGCTTTCCACTGAGTCTAAGTCTGTACGATTGGCCCAGGGATTGAACTAAAGAATTTCTAAACTATCAAAACGCTTTAATCACCATTTAAGAATGAGAGCTTTGAAAAATTTATAAATCTGAATATCCCTTGCATAAGATAAGGTATAACATCAAAAATTGAGTATTGCTACCATGTCTGCGCTCAATCTGTCCAGTCTTCATTTCTCAGTCTTGATAGCGTTCAAAAGCATCATGGAGATGATGAATTATTTTCCACTCTACAATGCTTTACCCAGAGACAAAATGTTGCAGGTCTCTTGCTATTTTTATGACGAGCTACATGCTTTAGTTTCACCAGTTTAGACCTTCACAGCCAAGAGCCGCCATGCCACCTATACAGTGTCGAATAATTATTATTCCCTTCGTATTTCATTGGTAAGGAGAAAGTTCCATTCGGCAAGCTTCTTCCCAAGAAACGTTACTCTGTGAAACCGACTCCTGAGAGAATGCTTCCCCGAACACTACAATTTTATTCCCTTCAAATTTAGGGTTAACCGTTATATATTCTCCATACCCTTATGATATGTACTCCTTACTTCTCGTTCTTACGTTCATAAAATAACTATATTCAAGAAACCTCTAAATTGAGTGACCTTGGTCCTTGTACAGTGTGATAAATTAGTAAAAAAAACAACACTTTTTGAAGATATATACAAGGATATCCGACATATATATATATATATATATATATATATATATATATATATATATATATATATATATATATATGATTGACTCTCCCATCGTTTTCGACATATGAGTGTCTTTCAATCCAGTTTTTAATCCTGTACCTGTCTCCGTAGCCTTAACTCTCTCGCTAGTGGACTTGTTGCTCAGGTGAAATAGCAAAGAAGTAACACAGAACTGAACTGCAGACTATCCACACAAAAGATTTGTTTAGAGTGGTGAAGCCTTGTGTAGAACCAGCCACACTTACTAGAAGTGCCAATAACAAGGAGTTGGTGCAAATGGTACGAACACAATGAACGACACCCCTCAAGTTTTATTAACATGGAGTTACTAGCAATGCACAGAAGAGTGCAGCGCCTTTCGATGGTAATATCACGTGATTTAGCCCGCCTGATGAAGCGGTTTACACGGTTTGGCGCATGTAGATATAAGGGATGGGTGAAGAGCAGTGTTGCCCGTCTATCTTAATAGTAAGAGCAGCGTCCGAGTAACAAATGTACTACTTCTACCAACTGCCACCTACACGCATAGAACATACTATATATATATATATATATATATATATATATATATATATATATATATAAAAAACATATATTATATAGGGCACATCAAAATTCCTCTTCCCAAAGAATACTTCTGAGTGAACTAAAACTCATAAAACAAGCATTAGTCAACAAAGATTTTTCCAACTACATTATTGATCAACAAATAAAATTATTCTTACTAAAAATACACGACAGCAGTAATAAAAATACCACACAACAAAATATATTTTACTGCAACCTGCATCTGCGTAATAATTATAAGCAGGACGAATTCGCTATACGAACAATCATTACACATCATATTTTCGCCATAATTAAAAAAAACAAAAACAAAACAAACATGTAAAACTCTTAATATATTGCAATAAATAGAAAACCAGAAACCTTTTGTCGTCGCTAATCAAATGACGCCATCAAATCATAACTAGCGATGACGAATATAGTGTATCAATTTCACTGTCCAGTACAAGACTGTGTTTCTTGTTAAAAATTAATTACTACCAAAGACATACTACCACCAAGTTGTGTTGACGCTTCACGTGTCACTTATCAGATCAAGGTGCTTTAAAATTATGATCGATAACACTGAAATTCTGTATGAAACACATTACCGGAAACATCTCACTATAGGAGAGATCCTGTATATCAAAACATCTCTCTCCCACTATGAACCTCACTTTATTTAACAGTGGGAATGGAGTGTTGTTGATATTTTTTTTCAAAAATAGAAAGGCGCCGAGTTGAATTCCAGCCGCACTCAAGACTCAAAAGCTCAGAATAAACGCTCCTACGATTATTCAACATAACACAAAAAATAAAATACATCTTAAACAGTCAAAACATGAAGAGAAATTAACATCGTCTAAAACAAACCATGGAAAATCTAATTAAAAAAAAAAAATTAAATTTCCTTGTCTGTCATATTTAACGAAATGTTTAAAAGGTTGCTGCCAAATATATATACATACTAAAAATAACGTTTTAATTGATATATATATATATATATATATATATATATATATATATATATATATATATAGCATAATGAGAAGCCACGTATACTTTCTTAATATGTATATATAGAAAAAGTTTCAAACTAAAAATTATAATGTTTTATTTTATGAAAGTTAGATTTAAGTTAGGAATATCTGAACAGTGACGTTCCATATCACGTGACGTCCGCGTCTCTCGAAGGACGCTACTTGCCAACAAACAGTAATTTTAATTTATTTGTAACAAACAGTTATTTCTGATGAAAAATTGAGGACAATTTGAAATATCAAATATATATATAAATAAATAAATACTTTCATAAAATAAAACATTATAATTTTTTAGTTTGAAACTTTTTTATATATATATATATATATATATATATATATATATATATATATATATATATATATATATATATATATATATATATATATATATATATATATATATATATATATATGTGTGTGTGTGTGTGTGTGTGTGTTACAATGGATTGCGGCTCGAAATGTGAAACCGGAGAGCTGAGTTCGAATTCCAGTCGAGTCCCATTCACTTATGCAAAATACCTTTGGGAAATATGTGAATCCATTTAATTTGTTTCCAGCTATGGATTAAATAATAGGAGAATCAGGACTCTTTGCCCTTTGTTGGCAACCAGTCTAGAGACGAACAACCTGAGGAGAATCATTTGTAGACCTTGTGACACACTATGTGCACCAGTTCTCTGTATTCAGTTCTTCCGAAAAGCGTATGTATAGACAATCTGGCTGTTCTGTTCTAAGAACTGAACTCTTGGACCCTCGTATGTCGATGTCGATGGAAGAGTCCATCATAGTGGTTACACGTGTTTGAGTTGATATCCCTGATTTTTTTTTTAGTATTTATTTTGTTAAACAATGAAATAATAAATAATAACCAGTTTAAATTGAGAAGTAACACTAAAGAAAAAAATGTACCTCCGACAAGAATCGAACCTGCATCCCTTTTTTACAGTGAAACCACTATTTTCTCATGTTATGATATCTCTGGAATCAGGTCTTCCGAAAAAGGCTTATGGCCACATCACATTGAAATACCGGTTCTCCTACGATCATCGAAGTTAAGCGACATCGAGCCTGGTCAGTACCTAGATAGATAACCGCTTGGGGATACCAATTGCTGTGCCGGTGGCGTAATGGATAATAGCTCGGTATCGGTTAATCGGAGAGCCGATTTCTAATTACCGTTGGGTTCATCATTTTCACTTACGCGCAAATACCCCTGGGAAAAGTATGAATTCCCATCTTCTCCCCTCAGCTATGGGTTAATTAGTAGGACTTATATTCATAAACCTTTATTAGCTAAAAAAGATCTTACAATCTAAAAATATTTTCTAGCTTTAAATTACTTGCAAAGGGTTGATAAACCGTAAAAAATAAATGAATCAATCAATTTTCCGCAAAGTGTGTTTGTATCGATACAAGCCTTCACCACTACAATCAAATCATCTGTACGTGTAATTGATCTAATCATGGCGTTAATGGACAGAAATGATGATAGAGTAAGTGTGATAGATAAAATTAAAAGTTTATGGGGTTGAACAATTGAACGCCTTCGATTTTTATTTTGCCCACGACAGATTCTGAATAGCTTAAAAGGTATTTTGCACGAGAGAGACTTCGCAATTTGAAAGTTCACATAAGTGCAAATGGGCCGCCGGCATATTTAAAGCTTAAGGTGTGTGTCATATCGATTGAAAGAAAGCTGCAACGGAAGTGGTTCCACATTGTGACGACGATTTCCATTCCAAGACCAGTTGGCATTCAAAGTGACTCAGGCGAAAATCAAACATATCGGATATTGCAGATTGAAGAACAAGGCTGGGAATATGGCTTTCGAAAGAGAATTAAATGTGATGGCGAATAATTTTAGTTGCAAGAAATTTTAAGAGTCAAAAAATGATGCCTGTCAAATATGGCGGCAAGAGAAAATATTTTTCATAAAATACAAATTATCATCGCTGATATTTGTACATAATATTTCCGTTATCTGATAATATCCCATTTAAAATACTGGCATATGCTTATGGGAAGAGAAAGAAAGAGTAAGAGATAGGAAGAGATATAGGTGTAGAGAGAAGGAGAAATTAAGGAGAGCGATAGAGGAAGAATGAAAAGATGATAGAGATTTGGAGAGGAGAAAGAGGGGAAAAGAGAAAGTGAGAAGGTAGAAAGTGATATAGATAGAAATAGAGATAAAAAGAGCGGGGAAGAAGGAAAGCAAGTGTGGGAGAGAGAGAGAGAGGGGAGAAAGAGGGAAAGACTAAGAAGGAATGTAGAATAAAAGAGAAAAGGAGAGAGAGAGATATCGGAATAGATATCGAGGAGAAAGAGGAAGTGATGGGGGAGAGAGAGAGAGAGAGATAAAGTGAGATAGGAAGAGATATATAGGAGGAAAAAGACAGAGTAGGGTGAGATAGATTGATGAGTATGGAGAGACTGGTGAGCAGAGAGAGCGAGAGAGTTAGGCGAGAGATAAAAACAAAAAGATAGAGGTAGGAAGAGCTAGAAGGGGAGACAGTGGGAGAGAATGGGGAGATAGAAGTAGAGAGAAAGCGTGAGGGATGGGAAGCGGAGGAAAGTGAGAATGAGAGAGTGGATCGAGAGGAGGGAAAGGTGGGAGATAAGAAGAAATGGAAGAGAAAGAGAGAGAGAAAGAGAGAGAGGGAAAGAGAGAGAGAGAAAGAGAGAGAGAGACGGGGAAAGCCAGAGGCAGAGAGAAAGGGCGAGAGAGCAAAAATATAAATGAAATATGTACTGTATATATTTGAGTACGAATTTTTATGGTCAGTTTTTGACGCTAGGGGTTCGCGCTATACACAGGCAATTTTTTTTCAATGACCCGTTTCACAATATACAAGTAATTCTTTTTTGGAGGGGTTAAAATTTATGCAGAAAAAATTCAGGGGAAAGAAGAAAGAAGAGAGATGTGCTTCTCGAAATGCGTTACTTTTAGATTTGATTCTGGCGTCAGAAATCTACATTTCCACCTTCATAGCTTCATTGGTGGTTCTGAAATTTTATAAGTTTCAGTGATGTCATCACTAACCAATAGCTTTTACGCATTGATCAACCGCCCTCTATATATTGGGTTGGTGCATAATTATCAGGCGTTTTTCAAACAATATTTATTATAAAAAAAAAGAAATAAAACAATTCAACAATAACATTTTTAAATGATTATTCCGTGGTGTATGATTATCTACACACATTTTTATAACCTGAAAATAAAATAATATCTTTACTAAAAAAAGTAAACAAAACAGCACTTTTTATTAACAAATAACTCGCCTACAAAAACGCCTGATGCACCAACGCAATCATTCTAAAACAGTCTAACTTGGCGCCTTTTTTTGTTGTTGAATAATCTGTTTGAAGACAAGGTATTTACTCTGTCTCCCAACTAAGACGAGTTGCGACACAAGTTCAGTTTTTAAGGTGGGGACCCGAGCGCGCACACCCGGTCAAGGAACAAAAAATTGCCCACAGCCCACGCAACCGTCGGTTGCGCTGGCCTCGGTGCGAGCACCAATCTCTCGTGTAGCTGTTCCCCAGGGCTGGGTACCTCTAAGTATAATTTTCCTCAGTTGCGACTCTGTCCTTTGACGGAGTCGCCCCTGAGAGCACTCTGCCCAAAGACAGAGACACAACTGGTAGATGATAAATAATGAGTTACAAACTGAGAGAGAGAGAGAGAGAGAGAGAGAGAGAGAGAGAGAGAGAGAGAGAGAGAGAGAGAGAGAGAGAGAGAGAGAGAGAGAGAGAGAGAGAGAAGTTTACGCTGTAATCTGTATGAAGACTATATTTAAATTTAGGTCAAGTATTTTTCTTATACTAATGTTCACCCAATACAAGAGCCACTCAAGGTAGAGGCTTACAGTGTGGTGTTGCATGAGCGTAAGGAAAAATATCGGCTAACTCTAGGCTTGAGGAATTAAAGATTGTAGTGATTGGGAAAACATCCTGTCAGGAGTCTGTTCCACCAAGTAGCAGTTATTGGTAAGAAGCTCACCGAATGAAACTTACTCCTTACTAATGGAATACGGAGGGAATGGTCAGGGCACGTAGAACCAAGGAATGTAGCTCGTCAGAACACTTGCCATGGAAATAACGATAGGGTAGCGAGGAGATTGCGACGTTTCGTCTGTCGGAAAGAGGTTGTAGGGTGGAAAATAATTCATCACCCACAAGGACGCTCTATCATTTTTTCCCTTTCCTAAATTTGGTTTTCTTAATTAATTAGAAGTAATGAATATCACTTATTCGACAGCAGTTTTTTTTTTTTTTTTTTGTATGAGTTAAAAGTAATGACAGTCTTCTATCTGGCACCTGTTTTAATCCGTATTAATTAAAAGTGACGAGCCTCATCTTCCCGGTACTTAAGGTCAGCAACTTTTCATTATTTTTTTTATCAGTTTATTTTTTTCACACGAAAAGGTATAATTTTTTTTTTTATATATAATGAAATTTCTTTGCTAAAAATGAACTCTGTCTATCCAAATAAAAAAAATAAAAATCTTGCTTGAACAACTCCGATTGAAATTAACAGTAATTCCTTATTTTCTCTTTCAGTCATTCATATTTTCTACCCCATCTCGACTTGTCTCTTTTCTAGTATTTGGACATCATCGTCATTGCAATGCAAGACGATACGAACATATTAAAGAAAAATTAATCTACACAAAAATGGACGATTAAATAAATGGGAATCTATCTTCCAAGATAAAAATAAAATCGTTAAGTGTTGGAATTAGCTTAATCAAAAAGGTGCTCTTTTTGTGCGAATTCCAGTCAATAACGATGTTTACATGAGTCTGTGTGTATAAATGCCTATATTTGGATGAACGCAAGAGGTGGAGTCGAAAGCTTGGAGCATGCGCAAGAGATTGTCTGTGTGTACACTTCCATTTTGTATTTTCAGCATCAATAATTTTTAGCTATTTTTGTCTATTTTACGAAAATAAAATGAAACAAATAAAGAATAAAATGGCGTAAAAATACAGCATGACGGAAAATGATCTTTCGGACATATCTATAATATCTATTCGACTTTTCATACAAATTTATACACGTTTCTGTGAATAGAGATTCTTTATCGTATAGGCAAACATAACGTCTCAGACATTACTTTTGTGATCAATATTTCACCGAGAGAAATTTAATTATATATACATACGTACATACATACATACGTAAATACATAAGTACACACACACACGCGCGCGTGCACACACACACATATATGCTCTGTGAGAGATATAGAATTTGTGCATGTATGTTATCTCAATTAAGAGAAAAGTTCTCGTTTTTGAAAAGATGAGTTTTTTTATCGTAGTGGTTGTAGACGGAAGTTATGCAAACGCGCACACCTACACAAGGAAAAGAAAGAAAGAAAGAACGAAAGAAAGAAAGAACGAAAGAAAGAAAGAAAGAAAGAAAGAAAGAAAGAAAGAAAGAAAGAATTACAAGAGTAAGTATGATGACCCTGAAGTGTGATGACGACATTTGTTGATTTTCAGACCACTAAAATGCAGGCTTCTTCCTTCCTTCTATACAACACGCTCCTTTCCAGACAGTAGCCAAACAAATCTTCCTCAATTCTTTCCAATCAATAATGCAGCCGAATCTTTTTGGCATAGGTCCAGGAGTTTAGTGTTTGATATGAGCATTTCTCAAGAATATTTGGCACATGGTATAAACGTTGGACCAGTTATAGAAGCATTTCGCATTTTATATAGCCCAGTAAACAATGAAAATACAGAAATGACTTTATAAGGAAACATCATTTAAGATATACATCCTTTTTTATTAAATACTTGTCGCAATTATTTTCTACTTTTATTCTTCATCATAACAGATGTATATTCGCATTACTTATTAATATTTCTTAGCCTTAAACGCTCACTGCGTCATCGAGTGTTATTTCACTTGGCGTAGATTACTATGAGAAATTTAAAGATGAGCAATTTAATTAAAATCAAACACTTCTTTTGTCTATGTGTCTCTCTATGTGTCTGTCCGTCTTTCTCTCTCTCTCTCTCTCTCTCTCTATATATATCATATATATATATATATATATATATATATATATATATATATATATATATATATATATATATCTTA